CAAAAAAATACACAACTTCATATAAAAATTTTAAATAAATATAATAAAATGTAAAAATAAAAGGAATTCATTAAAAAAAAAAAAAAAAGAAAAAAAAATTAACAAAAGAATGAATTAAGGAAAAAATTAAAAACATTATTTTTTTTTATATTATTAGAAAACTGTATTAACTTATTAATATATAAAGTTTGAATATATAAATATGTTCTGATAAATATTATATTTTTATTTTAATAAATAATCATGACGAACCATATATTTAATAAAAATAATGAGAAAATTAGCAAAGGTTTAAAACATGAATCATATTACAACAAAACCAGACTTATAATTAAAAATATACCAAAATATATGAATGAAATAGATTTAAAAAAACATTTTTTTAAGATGAAAGGTAACTATGAATTTAAAATAACTGATATAAAAATTATGAAAAGAAAAAAAATTATAAATGGTAAAGAACTATATGAATCAAGAAAAATTTGTTTTATTGGATTTATTAATAATGAGGATTGTGAGAATTTTAAAAAATCTTTTAATAATACATATATAAATACAAGTAAAATAACAATAGAAGATGCATTTTCTCCAATTATATCGGAAAATGTAAAACAGAAAAAAACATATGATTTAAAAAAAAAAGAAGAAATAAACAAAATTAATGGGAAAAAATCTGTAAAAATTATTAAAAACGAAAATTTTATAAATAAATTGATTCCAATTAAAAAAACCAAAGCTGGAATGAATACCACAAGAAGTCATATCATATATTTAGATGATGAAACTGATATAAATAAGAGTGCAAAACCAAATAATTCTAAAAAAAAAAAAAATACTGTTATAGAAAAAATAAATAAAGAAAACAATGAAAATATAGAAGATTCAAAAAAAAATATTAAAAACAACATAGAAAACAATAAAGAAAATGCTGAAGATAATGCCTTAGAATGGTTAAAAAAAATTTCCAAAAACAATGAAAATGATAAAAATGTAGAAGAAAAAAAAAATTTAAACGAAGAAGAAATAATTAAAGAAGATAATAATCAATTAAATAACTTAAATGGAGATAAAAATGCGGATAATACTTCTAGTATTAAAAACGATGAATGTGAAAATATGAATACAGGAAAAATAATTATATTTAACTTACCACCCACAAATGAACATGATATAAAAGATTTATGTGAAAAATATGGACCTGTTGTAGATGTGAAAATTTATAAAAATATTAAAAAGGGTAAATTTGAAATAAATTTGAATGAAACTAATAAATCAAATGAAGATTTTTTTTTTAAATTATTAAAAAACAGTGAAGACAATTCAAAAGAAAAAGAAAAAAAAAAGAAAGAAAATAACAGTAATAATAATAATTGCAGTAGTTTAAAAAAAAAAAATGACACAGAAGAAAATAAAAATGATGAAAAAGGTGAAAATATAGTAGGTAATAAATATATAATAGAAAATGATCTTACTAATATAAAGGTGTATGCTTTTGTGAGTTTTATGTTTCCAAGTGCATGTGAGAAAGCTAAAGAAAACTTAAATAATGCAATATATAAAGGGAAAATTTTATATGTTAAATATGCAAAAGAAAAATTAGGAGATTTTGAAATTTCTGAAAAAAGTAAAAATAATATAATTATTAAATTATCGAATGACTCTAAAAGTTCATATAAGAAAATCTTAGAAATACAGAGAAAGAGAAATTGTCAAAACGAAAATATATGGAATATTTTATATACAGATATAAATTCTAATATTTACAATTTTTGTAAAGAAAACAAATGTAGCCGTGAATCATTATTAAACATAAAAGATAAAAATATTGCAGTTAATGTCTCTTTAACAGAAACATACATAATTAATAAAATGAAAGAATGGATAAAAAAAGAAGGTATTTATTTAGAGGCTTTTGAGAAAATTTACAAAAAAAATGAAGAAAGAGAAGAAAGAGAAGAAAAAGAAAATAATCAAATAAAAGAAAAAAAAGAAAATAACGAGATAATAGAAAAAGAGGAATATCAAAATGATAATTCTTATAATACAGAAAAATTTATAAAATATAAAAGAAGTAATGACATTATAATAATTAAAAATTTATCTATGAATACAAATCAAAATGATATAATTAACTTATTTAAGAAATATGGAACTCTAAAAAAAGTTAGTTTTTCTCCATATAATAATTTAGCCATAATTCAATTTGAAAATCCAGAAAATGCAAAAAAAGCTTTTATATCTAATTCTTATATAAGATATAAAAAATTACCCTTGTATTTAGAATGGGCTCCAATTAATTTGTATGAAAAAAAAATAGAGGAAAATGATATGGAAAAAAATAATTCTAATAGTAATGATCCAAAAAAAAAAGATATTGATCCTGTTTTAAATAATACAAATGAAATTAAAAAAAATGAAGATGAAATACTAGAGAACGAAACTAGTGATGAAGAAATTACTCATGCTAGTATATATATAAAAAATATTAATTTTAATACAAAAGAAGAAGATTTAAAAAATTTATTCAAAAATTTAGAAGGTTTTTTAACTTGTAATATTGTTAAAAGTAAAAAAGTTATATCACAAAAAGAATATGAAAAAAATAACTCAGTAGAACCTAAATACCTTTCATTAGGATATGGATTTGCAGAATTTAAAAGCAAAGAATTTGCTATTGAAGCAATTAAAAAATTAACAGGAACTTCTTTAGATGATCACATATTAGAATTGAGTTTATCTCACAATAGAGTAAAGAAAAAAATGAACAAAAAAGATGAAGAAAAAAAAATAATTAAAGAACAAAAAAAAATAAGTAAAAAATTAGTTGTTAAAAACTTAGCTTTTCAAGTAACTAAAGAAGAATTGAGAAAATTATTTTCAGCTTTTGGAAATGTAAAAAGTGTTAGAATTCCTAAAAATGCTTATAATAGAAGTAGAGGGTATGCATTTATTGAATTTATGTCAAAAAATGAATGTTTAAGTGCAATAGATTCTTTACAACACACACATCTATATGGTAGGCATCTTATCATTGATTTTGCAAATGATTTTATATTTGAAAAAGATATGGATGAATTTGATAGATTAAAGGAAAATAATAATAAAAATAATGAAAATTCTATAACATCAGAACAAGCCAAAAGAAAAGCTGTCTACGAATCAAAAAAAAATAATGAAATAAGTGAATCAAAAAAAAGAAAAGCGTTGAATAATTTAAAAAATATTTAATTTGTATATAATCTATTTTTAAAAAACATATTAAAATCAGAAAATGTAATAAACGTAATAGGTTTATCCATATTAAGATGATATTATTTAATTTAATTATAAAAGAAAAAAATTTGAAGTAGGACAATTTTTGTTTTAAATTGTAAAACTAAAATAAATATATGAATAATGGTTAACATTAATAAAGAAGAAAATATGTAAGTATAGAAGATAATTATAAATTAAAAAAATAATTATAACCATAACAAAAATATATCCAAATTTTAGATAAACGTTTTTTTTTAGAAAATTACATATAGATATATGACACTTTTTTGTATTTATATGCATATGTTAATTTTATATAAACACTTTTTTTTTAATTTTTAAATTTTTATTCTTTTCAATTTTTTCAAATTTTTATATATAGTTTCCTTTTATTTAATTTCTCATATTTTGTTATAATTTTGATTATATGTTTGCATAATTAAATAATTTATATATATATATATAAAAAAAAAAAAAAAAAATAATAAAATTGTTTTTACAGAAAATACTAAAAAACAATTATTATTTCAAATATTAATAAAAAAAAAAAAAAAAATTTAAGTAATATTTCATTCTTATTTTCTTTTATTGTTTAAATCCAATAAAAACATTATTTTTTCATTTCTTATCTTTAGATACGTAGAAATTAAAAATAATATTGTTTTTCTATATAGGATAATTCATTATATTATTATTTTAAAATTTAGTACTTTAATTTTTTTTTTTTTTTATTTTTATTTTTTTTTTTTTTTTTTTGTTATAATATATAAATATATATAATATAAGTATTTTTTTTTAATTTTTTTTAATTCTTAATTGAAAATACAATTTAAAAATGTCAATATATTTATAAATATTACATCAATATAATTTAAGGCATCATGTTATTTATTTTTTTTTTCATAACATATTTTTAAAAATACAACTTAGAAATATGTATTTCACATATATAAATGGGGTATATAATTTTTTCTATAAATTTAACGATATATCATAATAAATAATTTTTATTATGAAATTTAAATTGAAATTTATTTTAACATTTTTTTTTTTTTTACTACCATGTTACAATAGTTATATTTTAAAAATTTTTAATGAGAAAATAGAAAAAAAATATTTTTATTATAATAAAAAAAAAAAAAAATTTTCATCTTATAATTACTTTTCTTACATTCCTTTTTTAAATGAATCTACTCTGAAAAAAAATTTATTTAACTTCAGAATATTTTTAAATAATAAAAAGACAAGAGAAGCAGATAACTATGACGATTTGAATAATATAACAAATGCTATATCAAAAAATGAGTTTCAATTAGATAAAAGACTTGAACAAAATTATATCAATGAAAAAAATGAAAACTATATAGACATTAATAAAGAAAATGGAATACAAAATGTAAATAAAAATAATGATTGCGTAATTAATAAAAATGAAATTATAAAAAAATCAAAAAAAACAATTTGTGACATTAATGAGGATTTTCCAAATGAATATAGTGATGATATAAATGAAAAGAACAAAGAAAAAAACAGTACTTTAAAAGAAAATTATAACAGTGATGATGATCTTTATACATTAGAAAACTCTAATGATAAAGACAAATATAATTGTGAAAATCCTTATCTATACAGTAACAGTAATAATTCCTTTAAAAGTAGTGAGTTGGATGAGAAATATAATGAAATAAGTAAAGAAAATGATGAAATAAAAAAAGAATATAATGAATTATTAGAAAAAAATGACAAAATTGATGAAGAAAATAATTCCTCTTTCAATATTAATAATGATGATTGCAAAAAGATAAATATAAATGAAAAAAAAAAAAAAAAAAAAAATATGGATATAAAAATAGTAAGAAATTTACCTTTAATATCAATTATAGGTAGACCGAATGTTGGAAAATCTACCATATTTAATAGATTAACTAGAAAATTTCAAAAAGGAAATATTGTTTTAGATGTAAGTAGCACCAGAGATAAAGTTTATGGAGAAGTGGAGTGGGAAGGATATAAATTTGAGGTTGTTGATACTGGTGGCCTTATTTTTGAAGATGAAAATTTTTCAAAAGAAATTCGAGATCAAATTTTATTATCACTTAGTGAATCATCTGTTGTTTTATTAGTTGTTGATGGATTAAAAGGCATAGATCCTTTAGACATTGAGATTTGTAAGTTTTTGAGAAAGTATATTGGGGAAGAATATAAAAAAGTTTTTCCTAAAGGAGAAAATCAAGAGAACAATTTTCCACAAAATGAAGAAAAAATAAAAGAAAATGAGATTCATAACTTAAAAAATAAAAAGGAATATACATCATGTGAAAATGTGTGTGAAAATGGTTTATCTGACAAAAACGAAAAACTAATTAATAATGTACAAAATCATATAAGTTATGATAATAACACAGAATTTTTCGATATATCAAATAAAAATGGTAAGGAAATTGAAGATAAAGATGAATGCAAAGGTAAACATGAAGATAAATATAAAAATGATAATGAAAGTACAACTGATGATATAAATGTGAATAAAAAGTACAAAAAAAATTCTTCTTTAAAAGTTATTATTTGTGTTAATAAATGTGAATCACATAAAGATGGATATTATAAATCTCAAGATTTTTGGGAATTAGGATTTGGAAATCCATTTCCATGTAGTGGAATTCATGGTAATGGGCTATCTGAAATTTTAGATGAATGTATAAAATATATTAAAAAAGTAAAAATAGATGAATTGGATGAGGAAGAAATTGAAAAAAATACTATAAATATTAGTTTCATTGGAAAACCAAATACTGGAAAATCAAGTATATTAAACAAAATTTTAAACTGTAACCGTTTTATAGTTTCACCTATAGCAGGGACTACCGTTGATTCAATTGATGTTTTAATCAAAATTAAAAATAGTGAAAGATTATATAGACTCATTGATACTGCTGGAATTCAAAAAAGAAAAAAAAATGTACCATTTAACGAAAAAACAAAATATGAATATTTATTATATAACAGAACTGAAAAAGCTATAAGAAGAAGTGATGTTTGTGTTCTTGTTATTGACTCATTTAATGGTATAAGTTCACATGATATAAATATAGCAAGAAAAATTTTGAAAGAAAATAAAAGTTGCATAATTTGTTGTAATAAATGGGATCTTATACATAACAAGAATGATATTTTTAATGACACAAAAAATTATGTTCTTAACCTTTTAAAACCAATTGATTTTGCTAACATTTTGTTTATATCAGCGAAAACATCTCAAAGATTACTTAATATATTTGAACATGCAGAAGAAACTTATAAAAATTATACAAAAAAAGTGAATACTAGAAGTTTAAATCAAATAATAAAAGAAGCACTTTTACTTAGACCACCAATACCTGTTAAAAATAAGTCCTTAAAAATTTATTATGCTTTTCAAGCACATATTAAGCCACCTGGATTTGTATTATTTTGTAATTCTGAAAAATCTGTTTATTCAAATTATACAAAATATTTAGAAAGTAGGATCCGAGATACCTTTAACATTAAAGGTACTCCAATTAAGATTTATTACAAACAAAGAAGATTAAGAAATATTATAAAGAAAACAAAAAATCCAGATAAATACAATTTAGATGTTGAAGCTATTCAAAAGAATTTTCTAAAAATTCATTCTAATAATAATAGTGTCGAAAATTAAGCATTAAATATATATTTTAAAAGAAAAAAAAAAAAAAAAAAAAAAAGTTATGGACTAAAACAAATATATAAAAATTTAACAAATAATGGAATCTTTTATAAATAAATTATATTTATAGAATAAAGTTACATAAAAAAATTCTATAAATTCTTTAATGAAAAAAACATTAAATACATATGGAAATTTAAAACAAATATTTTTAATAATGAAAAAATAATATAAAAATGAAAAAAAAGTTTGTATATTAGTATAAAAAACTTTTTTATATACAGGAATGAAATACAAAAAAAAACAAAAAAGAAAAAAAAAAAAAAAAAAAACATATTTTTTTTTTTTAATTAAAGTTAAATGTTATTCTCGTTACAGAATCTTGAACATTATCTAAATTAAAATTATTTTCTTCATCATTTTCTTCTTTTCGATCAAATGATAGGAAATTATTATTTTCATAAGTCAATCTTAAATTTCTTATTAAATTACTGATATAATCTGATGAATTTTGTATATTATTACTTACATTATTATTTAAAATGTTTTCCTCTCTATTAATATCTATACTATTATTATTTTCTGAAGACAACTGTTTATGGTTGTTTCCATGATCTACACATTCTTCCATTTCTTCTTTTTCTTCATTATTTTTACTTATTTCATTTTGTATATCATTATTATTTTGATTTGATATTAAATTAGAGCTAATAAAAGTGGATTCATCGTTATTATTTGCATCGTCTCTTTCATTAATATCCATAAAAGATGTATCTCTCATTTCATTTACACTCCTATTTTCATTAATAATATGATCTGAGTAAGATTTCTCAAATAACAACAATTTTATATAAAATTTTATTTTCGAATTTTCATTTTCTTGGCGTTGTGGATCATTGTGTAGATAATCAATTATTTTTTCATAATTTATAAAGCTATTAATAAATTTAGAAAAAGAAAAATCACTTTTGTCATAAACTGTACTTTTCAATTTTTTTGACTTAAAAAATCCATCAATATTTTCATCATCTGAATCATCTTCAGTATACGATGATTCAGAAGAACTATACTTATTATTATTGGTAGACTTTTCTTTACCTTCATAAATAGATGCACATTCTTTTTGGTAATTATTATTGTTGTAATAAAAATTATATATAGCATTGTCAATGTTATAATTATCTGATATATCGATATTTTTTAACTTATGTGAAGCATCACTAATGCTATTTACATATTTAAAATTATTATGATCATATGTATCTTTTTCAAAATTATTGCACTCTAGGTTATTATTATAATGCTCATTTGTCTCTTTATAAGAACATGAAAAATCTTTACAATAAGAATTGTCTTTTTTTATTTTTCCATTGTTTGTACTTATTTTATTAAATGTGACCTTGTTTTTTTCACAGTTTTCGTTGTATTCAGTATTAATTTTATGCATATCATTATTAAGCTTATTCAAATTTATATGTACCTCATTGATACTATCATCAAAGTTGTTTAAAATTGTTACATCTTCTTGAAATAATCTTTTATTTTTTTCTTCTTCACAATCAAAATTTGTTTGAAATTCTTGAGATTTTTTAATTTTATAATTTTCTTCAGTATTTTCTTCTTTTTCTGATAAATTATTTTTTACCATATTAGTTATTGACAACTCATCTTTCTGTTGGCATATTTGACTTTTCTCAGAATTCTTTTTATTGTAATTCTTTCCATTCATAATTTCTTTGTATTCATTATTTGAAGAAAAACACTTGTCCTTATCAACAAAAAAGTTTTCATTCGAGCCATAACATTTTTTTATAGCATCTATTATTTTTTTAGTATTTTTTATTTCTCTATTACTTTTATTAATGGTTAGTTTATTATATATATCTTTTTTAACATTTTCTGTTGTTATACCTCTAAAATTTTCTAAATTCATTTTAATATTATTTATCATTTTTGAATCAATATGATTTTTTCCTTTAATTTCAATAACAATTTTTTTTAGTTTAAAATTTTCTCCTTTTAAGAAATCTATAATATTTTTAAAATATATATTTGGAAAAATGGTGATGTAATAGTTTTTGGGGTACAATAGCTCAATTTGATTTAAAGTATCAGAAAAGTTGTATAAGATATTTTTTATATTATGAAAAACTAGTCTTTCGGTATGTTCCGATTCCCAGTCATTAAAAGAATAAAGGCTTTCATAATTATAAATTCGAAGAAGTTCAATAGGTGGTTTTGCCCAAAATGGTAAATCGGCCAAATAGGAAAAAAATGCATAGAATAAAATATCATGAACTAACAATCTATAAGATAATTCAAGACCTTTTAATTTGGGATTTAAAAGTGAATCTTCACATACATACTGTAATATACCTGAATCATATAAGGGCAAGCAAAACTTAGGTAAAAGACGTAATAAAAATATATAATTGCTTATAGGTTCAAAAATTGTTTGAATAGAAAGTAACTTTGATGAGTTGTAAAAAACATCTATAGTTGGAATAGATTTAACATCTTGATCTTTGATAATATTTTCTCTTGCATTATATACAGGGTTAAATGTTCTAATAACAATATCATTTTTCCAAAAAGAAGGAATATCCTCATGTGATATTATATTTTCTTCATCTTCATCATATTTTTTCTTTTTTAAAAGAAAGTCAAAATCTGTATAGCAATTATTCTTTCTATAATGTTGATTTTTTATTATTAATTTACTATAAACAATATTTTCCCTACTTTTTTGTTCCGTTTGAAAAAATGAGTCTTTTGGATAAACTTCCTTTTCAAGAAGTCTCAGATTAATATATTCATTAAAATTTTTCTTTATCTGTAAACTCTCTTTTAAATTTTGGTATTTAAAATTTTTATTCAAAAAATAAAAATCTAACAATGGAAAAGATAATTCTCTATCTTCGTTATTTAAATTTTTTAATATCTTATTTATTTTTTTTTCATTATTTTCATCTTTGATATTTATGTAATCTATGTTATTTAACTTCTTTTCATTTTTTCTCTCATCTCTTTTTGTAGAATCAAAATTGATCATTTTTCTTTTCCCATTCGTTCTTTTTTCATAAAATAAAACCACACTTCTATATTATCAGTAAATATTACTAAACAGTATAAGAACTATAAAAGAAAAAACATAACCACAAATGAAAAAAAAAAAAAAAACAATGGAAAAGAAAAAGAATGAAAATAAAAGTCCTCAAATATATAATTTAATGAATTTAACACCTCTATTTAATTTGCTTTAAAGGTTTACCATGAAAATTTTATGCATTAATCTTCAATATTTAAAAATTATAATGTAGAATAATTTTATAATATGAATATTGTTTTTTCCCTTATTTCCTTTTTGTATAATTTTTTTTAATATATATATATATATATATTTTTTTTTTTTTTTTTTTTTTTTTTTTTTTTTTTTTTTTTTTATGTGTGCACATTTGTTAATTTACATATTTGATTAGTGTTTGCAATATATGCTTTTTCTAAAATAAAAATAGCACTGATAATGTTTTTAATTATAATTAGTTATATTATTATTGTAAATACATATTTTTTTTTTTTTTTTAAATAAGTTTGTTTTATCTTAAATATATAAAAATGTGCTTTAATAAAAAAAAAAAAAGTTTACTAATTATTAATATTCAGAAAAAAAAAAAAAAAAAAAAAAGCGTATAATATAGAACACAAAAATGTTGTTTCATATAATTTTAAAGATTAAGACAATTTAATACTTATAAGCTTTAAAATTATTTTTTCTGAAAATTTAAAACTGTACTTAATATATTTATTACGAAAATGTTCATGTTGTTATTCGTATTTTAATTAAATAAAGCAATATAAGGAAAATATGAAATTCTTCGTTTAACAAAAATACATTTGTTGTATAAGAAGTTAAAGAAAAGAAAAAATGTGAATGAATAACAATTCATTCATTCTATTTAAAGTTGCAAATTTTTTAAATGGACAATATTCACATCATATATAATGATATGATTACTTATATTTATTATTCTTTTTTTTAACAAGAAGGTTATGTTAACAAAAAAAAAAAAAATGTTTTATATGAGACTGCTCGCTCATTTTTATTAATATATTTTAAATAACTTAATAAAATATGTAACTAAATTTAATGGTTGAAGATTTTTTGTTTTTTAATGATAGAAAAAAAAATTGATCCATATTTTAATAAATATATGTATTTTTTAAGTTTCTAATTTGTTAAATTTGTGTAACGAGAAAAATAAAAAGCTGCATTGAATTTTTTTTTTTATAACTTGTACAATTTATTTTTTTAAAAAATAATAAAAATAAATAATTATAATAAAAATAAAATAATTTGTTAAAAATTAAGAATAAATCTAATAATAATTTAAAATACATTGAATTTTATGTCATAGAAATTATAACATAGAATAAATTAAAAACATTATGGAAAATATAATAGATAAACATGTTTTAAATGAATTTTCATTCTTACACAATTTTTTTTTAAGTGTTATATTTTAGTATTCCCAAATAGAAAAAAAATAAAACAATTAAAAATTAATTAAAAAAAAAAAAAAGATACTATAAGTTTTTAACTAAAATATTGGGTGTAATTTAACAAGAACGTTCAGTATTTTAATATATTTATTTATTTTTCTTTTTTCTTTTTTTTTTTTTTGAACCTTTCAAATAAGAAAAAAAAATATTTTTTTTTTTTACTCTTTTAAAATGGTAATTTTTATATTTGTTCAATAAACTATTAAATATTAATATTTTTTTTTTAAAAAGATTGTTCCTTTCTTAGAATAATGTTGCATAATTCATAAAATAAAGATACAAAAATTTTAAACGTTTAAAATATTTTAAATTCAAACAACATAATAATAGTATTACATTTTATTTATTTTTAATAGTTAAAAAGTATGTTATCTTCTGCCGTGAATACATTTTTATTATTATTTTTCCTTTGTTATTTGTTTTTTTTTTTTTTTTTTTTATTTTACTTTTTTATTTTTAAATTATAAGAACTATTAAAAGATTAGAATATAGTATACTTGTCCTAATCCAAAGATTTACAATAATTTTTTTTTTTTTTATTCTTATAATTTATCAAAAGGTAAAAATTCGTCAAAAAAAATGGTTCTATATTTCTAAAAGGCATGTTTTTTTTAATTTAAAAAAAAAAATTTGCATGTTTTTGCATGTTTAATTTTTGCATAATTTTTTTTTATTAAAAAGAAAAAATTCTAAAGAAAATATTATTAAAATTAAACTTAAATCTTTAAATACTTAATAATGTACAAATTTTTTTTTTTTTTTTTTTTTTTAATAATTTATTAATATAAATAATAATTTATTTTTAAAATCTTTTAATTTTTATTTATAAAATTTTTAATTAAAGAGTATTTTAGTTTTTTTCTTCTGTAGCATATAAATTAAAAATAATTTCTATCAATTTTCTTTAATAATTTAAAAATATTAAATAATAATAATATAAATTCATATTTTGCTTTGTACGAAAGTTTTTATATGCATACATCGCGAATATAAAAATTTTCATTTTTATCGAAAAAAAGATTTTTTAATTTTCCGTACTGAATTTTAATGCACGATAGCTTTTTTTATTTAAAAGATATATAATATATAAACAATAAAATTATTTTTGTTTTTCCTTAGTTTATATATATATTTATTTTTATTATATATATTCTATCTTTAAAAAAAATTATTTTTATACGATCTATTTGATAAGTATTATTTTAGTTAATTTTTTATTGAATGACAAAAATTTTTTGTATTAATCAGCTATATATTTTTTATTATAAAAGGCTTTAAATATAACATTGTTCTAGATATTTTTTTTTTCATTACATTAATATATTATTTTTTATTTTTTTCCGATATATATATATAATTTTTTTTTTTTTTTTTAACATTCTAATCTATAGAAAGGTAATAATTATTTTAAAATTTTATTGTTTTAATTAATAAATAATAATAATTTATTGTAATTAAATAAGTAATATTATTAAAATAAGAATAAAAATAATGACTATTACATTGGAAGACCTGAAGAGCGATAGTTTACATAATTTTCAAAATAAAAGAAAATATAATTGTCGTATGAATTTTAAAAGATTTACTAAAAGGAGAAATAAAAGTAAAGAAGACAATAAGGATAGTCATATTAATATTAAAACAGCATTAATAAAAAATGAAGTGATTGGAGATGATAATGATGAATTTATTGATAATAATTTAATGAGAACATGTAATAAATTTAAACTACATAAACATAATAGTAAAATAGAAGTATATAAAACTAATGAAAAAAAGTTAGATAAATATGATTATGAAAGAGATCAGACATTTTGTTCATTAACTGACCTAGAGGATGTAGTAAATGAAGACAAAAAAAAAAGTAAATTTTTTTTTTATAAAAATAAAAGTCTGAATGATTATAATTCATGTTTTGAAAAAAAAAATAGGAAGCTTAAATGGTTTAGACTAAGAAGAAAAAAAAAGAAGGAGTCAACCGTAGATGAAAATTTAAAATATTTAAATGAATCAGTTTGCTCAAATTATAAAGACGCAAATCATAGAAATCAATTAAATAATTCATCACAATATACTAAAAAGTGTGTACTAAACACAGTTAATGGAATAAAAGGAGTTTCTGCCTGGATATTTTGAAAAAAATGATATTAAGAAATTTTATTAAAAGAAGATGAAAAGATTTTACTTAAAAGAGATAAAAAGATTGTTTTTTTATAACTTGTACTTTGTATAATAATATATTTATTCAAATTACGTTGAACTTTTTTTTAAAAATTTTAATAATTTTTTTTTGAATTACCTTGCGATTTGTTTTTTTTTTTTTTTTATTTTAATATTTAGTGTATGTGGAAAGCATTTAAGTTTAAATATAACAAATAGGTTTTTATTTTTAAAATTTTATAGTTTTTCTTTTTTATATTTTTTTTCAATATATTTAAATTTTATTTTTAAGAAAAACCTAATTATTTTATTAGAATATGTTTTACTCATTTTTTTTTTTCCTTTTCGTTTTATTTTATATTTATTTAATATTTTATTTAAATATTCTCTTTAAAGATAATATTAATTTCTTTTTTTTTTTTTTTATAGTACACTTTAAGAAACTATTTTCGATAAAGACATTTTTTACAAATAATATATAATTTCTTTTTTTTTTTTTTTTTTTTCCTTATTAAAACATTAAGATAGAATATGTTAAAAACTATCTCTGTCTTTAATTACCCTATGAAAAAAATATAGAAGTATTTTTTGGTATTTTAGTATTATTAAAAGAAAAAGAGTAGAATAACTTCTACTTAAGTAAATAATTGATGTATAAACTTATATAATTTAAGATTTGAATAATATTTTGGATAATTAAGAATAGAAAAACGTTTTTATGAATAGATAATAAATTTATATGTATTAAAAAAAGTTCCTTTAAAATGTATCTATAAATATATTTTTTCATAAAATATATAAAAAAAAAAAAAAAAAATAGAAAATATAAATGAAACTATATATATATATATATATATATATATATATATATATATATATTTATATTTGTATTTATTTTTATATAGAAAAATAGCAAATTCTCTTTTGAAAAATACAATGAAAAAAAGAATATAGAATTTTATATTTGTTTCATGTTATAATGTGAAAAAATTAGTTATGTACTTTATTTAATATTTTTCCTTTTTCTAATAGTTTATATTTAATTTTTTTATGTTACTTAAATATAGCTTTTATATTATGAAAAATTATTATTTTAATTTTAGAAAACATACATTTTTTAAGTTGAAAACTTTGTCTAGATATTCGTGTTAAATAGAAAATAAGATTTAATTTTTTTTATTATTTTTTATTATACTATCACATATTATGAGTATATTTTAAATTCTGAAAAAAAAATAGGAACTTTTTAAGAAAAAAATTGATTGAACAAATTAAAATGTTTCTTTTAAATATATAAATTGTTTATATTTCTTATAAAATTATTAGTTTTATGTAATTTCTCATGAGAATAAATACATTATTTATGTTTCAATAATCCTACAATAATAAATTATTTTATGTTAATAAAGTTTTAGAAATTCTTTAAAGGAATTCTATATGTATATATAAACAATATAAATAAAGTATATAAAAAAGTATGTACAAAAATAAATATGAATTAAGAGGTAACTCTGAATTTTTCTATGAAAATGAATATGAAAATGAACATAATGATGAATATAGTATAGAGAGTGAAGACTGGCATGAAGATGAAAAAGACAATTATGATGATAATTATTTAGAAGAAAATTACGATGAAAGTGAAAATGAAGAGATATTTAATACACTTAATAGTAATTATAAAAATAAAATAAAAAGAAGATATAACAATAATTCTTTATTGAACTTAATAGGTGAACTAAATGTATTAACAAATGAAATGCCTTCTAATTGGACAAATGACGAAAAAATAATGAAGAAAAAAAAAAAGTTGCCAAAAATAAACTTAGATAAAAAATATATTGAAGTTGGATGTTTAGGATTTTGGAAATCATCTAGCAGTAAAAATAAATTCGATCTAACAAATTTAAAAGATAATAATGTTAATACCTACTGGCAATCTTCTAGCTTAGCACCACATACAATAACAATACATTTTATAAAACTTACGAAAATTTCAAAAATTTATTTACTTTTTAATTATTTATTAGATGAGTCATACACGCCATATGAAATATCAATCAAAATAGGAAATGATGAAAATCATCTTGAATTCCTTTACAGTACATTTTGTGATATACATAAATATTCTTTAAATAATCCTTTTTGGTTTATAATAGATGTTAAAAATATTACTCCTTTATCATATCTTTACAATTATAATACAAATTTTTTCAAGAATAATGATTTTATATATTGTCGCTGCTTACAAATCATTATTTTATCAAGTCAACATAATGGAAAAGATACACGCATTAGACAAATAAAAATTTTTGGTCCAAATTATTCTTTGTATAAATATGATAAAATGCTTATATAGAAGGAAAATATAGAAATATATATATATGTAAAAAAAAAAAAAAAAAAAAAAAAAAAACAACTAAATATATATGTCTAGTAACATTTTTATTTACAAAATTTACATCTTTATAGAAAAACTAATTTTGAAAAAAATTAAAATATGAATGTAAAAAAAAAAAAAATGTTTAAACAAAATGTACAAAAATTTTTTAATATAAAAATAAATATATATAATTAAAAATTTTTTCCTTTTATGATTCATCACTTGTATTTATTTAAATATCTCATCTAAAAAAATTAGGAATTTATATTTTTCTCTATTTTTATTTTTCTTTATATTCAATATAATGAAAGAGAATAAAATTCTACATAATTTTCATTTTATTTTTTTTTTTTTTTATTCATTATAATATTCATTTTCCATTTGCTCTAAAATCTTTAATTTATCTGATAATGCCACATTTAATAAATTTCCATTTTTTTTTTTTAATCGTTTCTTCAATTCATCTTTTATTTTTTCTTCAAAGGATAAGGAATTCATTTTTATATTATAAGTACTTATTTTATTTTCATTCTTTTTTTTGAAATTATGTTTATAAATATTATATTCCAAAGGATTATTTTTGTGAATATAACTTTCAATATTTCTAAAATTTCCTTGTTCACCATTATCAGACACATTCATATTACATTTGTCACTATTTATGCTTTCATTATAATCATCACTACAATTGCTATCATTGAAATTATCGCTATATGTAATATAATCATGATTATCGTTGTTCATATTTTGATCACGATCATCACTATTTACATTTTTATCATAATCATCATTATAAATGTTTTCATTTTTATCATAATCATCATTATATATATTTTCATTTTTATCATAATCATCATTATAAATGTTTTCATCAAAATAATCACTACATTCACTTGTATCATTTCTATTACATGAGCTTTCATCAGGATAATCTGACATTTCCTTTTTTGAATTACTATCAAAAGAAGATGTATATGAATACATTTCATACTCTTCACTGTTACTGCCATATATATCTTCTAACACTACAACTTCTGATGGATCAACGTTATTATTTTTTATGTTGTATAAGTAATCCATATAATTATCTAACTGTAATTTTTCATTATCTAGAATATATAAATCATATTCGTAATCTTGCTCTTTCATATATTTTCCTTCCTTGTTTTTTTCTTTTTCTACACTTTCGATATTATCATTTATATTTTTATGTAAATCTATATCAATTATTTTAAATGTTCCTTTTTTCTCTCCATCTAAATTAACATATTGAATATTTTGATTTACTATTTTGAATTTTTTTAAACTATTTATGGTACCCTTTAAATCTTTTTCATAATTTTTTAAAGAGTTAAATTTTCTCTTTTTTTCTAAAAATTGCGTGTAGGCGTTACAATTTAATTGTTCATATTTTAAAAAAAGATTAATACAATCGACATTTTTTTTATCAGTATCTTCTTCTGGAAATATAGTATCAATATGCTTATAAAATATTCCATTGCATATTCTTTTATTTGATTTTTTTACATAAATTGATGGAATGGTAGTTTCTTCTACTTTTCTTTTTAATCTAATTATAACTTTTTCATCTTTTTCATCAATCTTATTTTCAGTATTATCTTTAATATTCTTATACATTTTTCTACTCTTTTGAAAAAAGACAAATTTCATTCACGTTTTCAATGATCTAAATTGTTCTATTATAAATATTATATAAATACACAATTTGAAAATCTATTACTTTTTATTAAATCACACGTATATATTTTAAATATTATTTTATTTCTTACAATAAAATATTTTTAATTACGTATAAAAATTATTAATATTATATTCAATACCAAAATTATCCTTTATTATTATATATTATTTTATTATTTAATGGTTAGAAATATTTCTAATTTTCCAATTATTAATTAAATATTAAAACAAAAATATTTTTGAATAGTGTATATAATTTATTCCTAATAAATGATATATTTTTATACCATCCAAATGAGGTTATGAATCATAAAAATTTTAATCCTTAAAATGATTCACATAAGAAAATATATTTAATTTTTAAAAAAATTGGTTACGCATTTTGATAAATATATTTACGTAAATTTATTATTATTTATGTATATAATATTTTTTCCTTTTTTATATTCAATAAAAAACTCAACAAAAAATATATATATATATATGTATATATATAATCTTTTAGTAAAATTCACTAATATTTTAAATTTTTCTTTCCTTTTTTAGTTATTTTTTGAAACTTTTATGAAAATATTAAAGATTTAATTATATATATTTTAAGCTTTTTGAATTATATAAAAACTGAATAGTTAAAATATTGATTTATGTATATTTTTTTAAATTATTAAAATCATATATTATTTTAATAGTTAATGAGCAACTGGGGCATCTTAAAATATTTTCTCCTTTTAAAAGATCTTCTAAAGTAATTTCAAAAATATCACCACAAGGGCAAGGATAAAAAAATGTTTTAATAGATTCATCAAATTCAAAATCCTCTAATTTTACCTCTTCATAAATAACATTATATGCTTCATTAGCTTCGTAATTATTATTTTCTACTATCATTTTTCATAATATAAATAATTTTCAATATTTCTTTATATAATTTTTTAAAATTCAAGTCGTATTAATATATAAATATATAAAAATAAAATAAAATTTTCATGCATATGAATATATAAGTATTTATTTTAACTAATTAAAATACATTCTTATTTCTATAATTTTTTTTTTATTTTAAAAAAAATTTTTTTTTTTTTTTTTTTCAAAAATTTTTTTCTTATAAAAGCATGCACACAAAAATGCTATTAGTAGAGCAAAAAATCAAAGTACTTTATATTATTATTAGATAAAAAAAAAATCAATAAATTAAAATCTTTTTAGTGATATCTTTCTCATTTGTTATTTATATAAAATATAATGAAATAATGAAAAAAAAATTCATGCATATACAAATTTAAGAACAATAATTATACCCTTAAAGTAGTAAAAGTACTCAAAAATAAGTATATATTTATATAATGAAATAATATAAAATAAAAAACTAACAATGAAACATTTTTAATGGAAAATTAAATAATTTTTTAGTTATAAAATAATATAGAATAATAAATATAAAAAAAAAAAAAAAAAAAAAAAAAATAATATAATA